AAGCTGTGCAAATCAGTGCACCTGTGCCTGCCCTCAGGAGCATCTAGGCCAGTGTGGATTGGGAGACTGCAGTTAGTTATTCGCGGGGAGCTAGCTGACTCCAGAGCTGGAAATCTGGCCGCCGCCATGTTTTTTTCATTGTTCCACCTTGTGCCTGGGAGAGGCAGGGCCGCCAGGGAACAAAGGCCTCACAGAATAAACAGCTCACACTGAGCCCAGCACCTGGCAGGGTCGGGGCACCGCCCCCAGGCACAGACGTCTGAGAATCAGCACAGCACACCCCTCCCCCAGAAGACCAGCTGAAAGAAAGGAGAAGAGCAAGTTTAGTGTACAAGCAGTATTGGAAAGCTACAGGACTGAGGGATAAAAGAACTAGAGGGCCCTTTATTTATTTATTTATTTTACAACTCCTTTTGATATCAGGCTGCAAATTTCCAATGTTTTTTCTCTTTTCTCACCTTAACTTCAATATTTTACCAACTCTTAGTTTTTAAGTTTTTTTCCTTTTTGACTTTCATATTTCTACAGTTACATGTCTTAGATCTATTTTTCACTTCTGGATTCCCTTCAACGCATTCAATTTAATTTTGGTAGATATGTGAGATATGGGTTTTTGTTTTTTGTTTTCTCAGTCATATTTTGTTTTACAGTTGTGGAAGTTAGTACCTTCTAACACACAACCAAAATACACCCAGAACCAAGTGGAATACCATGTTGATTCATTCTGTGAGATAATATTCCTCTTCCTTCCCATTCTGCCCCCTTCTTTTATCTTGTTTATGTTACTGTGGTCAATGTGGGACTTATATAAGTATTATTGACATATAAATCTAGGATTGGGCATCTTCTAACATACAGAACAAAATATGCTCAGAACCAAGAGAGGTTCACTACCACTTCCTCACCACCAGCATCCCCTCCCTTTTTTTTTCTTTTCTTTCATTTTTTCTGCTTTGTTTTTGGTTTTTCGTTTTTACGTCTTTATTTAAATTTTTTTTTCACTTTAGTGGTTCCTTTATTTTGTTCTGTTCTTTTTATTTTCTGGTCTCTGACCTCTTCCAAATCATCTAGGGTGTATTCTACTTACGTCATAGTTGATATTTTTGATTCAGCCTGTTCATACAGCCAGTCTGCACTGGACAAAATGACTAGAAGGAAGAATTCACCACAAAAGAAAGAACCAGAAGCAATACTCTCTGACACGGAGTTACAGAATATGGATTTAAATATGATATCAGAAATTCAATTCAGAAGTACAATTATAAAGTTACCGGTGGCTCTGGAAAAAAGCATAAAGGACTCTAGAGACTTTGTTACCACAGAATTGAAATCTAATCAGGCCGAAATGAAAAATAATTTAACTGAGATGCAATCCAAACTGGATGCTTTAACTGCTAGGGTTAATGAGGTGGAAGAGAGAGTGAGTGACATAGAAGGCAAGTTGATGGAAAGGAAGGAAGCTGGGTAAAAAAAGAGAAAAACAAGAGCCCAGGAGGAAAGGCTTAGGGAAATAAATGATAGCTTGAGAAGGAACAATATACATTTAATTGGGATTCCAGAAGAGGCTGAGAGAGAGGACCACAGAGTATATTTGAACAAATCATAGCTGAGGACTTCCCTAATCTGGGGAAGGAAACAGACATTCAGATCCAAGACATAAAGAGAATCCCTCCCCCCAAAAAATCAATAAAAACACTCAACACCTTGACATTTAATAGTGAAACTTGCAAACTGCAAAGATAAAGAGAAAATTTTTAAAGCAGTGAGAGATAAGAGATTCTTAACTTATATGGGGAGAAATATCAGATTAACAGCAGACCTCTCCACAGAGACCTGGCAGGCCAGAAAGGGATGGCATGATATATACAGGGTACTAAATGAGAAGAACATGCAGCTAAGAATATTTTATCCAGCAAGGCTGTCATTCAGAATAGAAAGAGAGATAAAGATCTTCCAGGATAGGCAGAAACCAAAAGAATATGTGACCACAAAATTGGCTCTGTGAGAAATATGAAGGGGGACTCTGTAAAAGAAAGAGGGAGCCCAAAGAAACAATACACAAAAACAGAGACTGTATAGGTAATACAATGACACTAAATTCATATCTTTCAATAGTTACTCTGAATATAAAAGGACTCAACAATCCCATCAAAGGACACAGGGTATCAGACTGGATAAAAAAGCAAGACCCATCTATATGCTGTCTACAAGAGATTCGTTTTGATCTAAGGACACTTCCAGCCTACAAATGAAGGGGTGGAGAACAATTTATCATTCAAATGGTCCTCAAAAGAAAGCTGGGGTAGCAATCCTCATATCAGATGAATTAAGGCTTATATCAAAGACTGTAGTAAGAGATGAAGAGGGACACTATATCACACTTAAAGGGTCTAGCCAACAAGAAGACCTAACATCATGAATATTTATGCCCTTAATGTGGGAGCTGCCAAATATATCAATCCATTAATAACCAAAGTAAAGAGATATTTAGATAATAATACTAATAGTAGGAGACTTCACATGGCACTTTCAGCAAATGACAGATCTTCTAAGCAGAACATCACCAAAGAAACAAGGACCTTGAAGGATACACTGGACCAAACAGATTACACAAATATATACAGAACTTTCTATCCTAATGCAACTGAATACACATTCTTCTCAAGTGCACATGGAACTTTCTCCAGAATAGACCACATACTGGGTCACAAATCAGGTCTCAACCGATACCAAAAGATTGGGATTGTCCCCTGCATATTTTTAGACCACAGTGCTTTGAAACTACAACTCAATCACAAGAAGAAATTTGGAAGAAATTCATACATATGGAGGTTAAAGAGCATCCTACTAAAAGATGAATGGGTCAACCAGGAAATTAGAGAAGAATTAAAAAGATTCATGGAAACAAATGGAAATGAAAATACAACCATTCAAAATCTTTGGGATACAGCAAAAGTGGTCCTAAAAGGAAAATACAATACAAGTCGCCAAAAAAATCAGAAAAACCTCAAATACACAAGCTAACCTTGCACCTAAAGGAACTGGAGAAAGAACAGCAAATAAAGCCTAAACCAAAAAGAAGAGATATAATAAAGATTAGAGCAGACCTCAATGAAATAGAGACCAGAAGAATTTTAGAACAGATCAAAACTAGGGGCTGGTTCTAAGAAGAATTAAGAAGATAGATAAACCCTAGCCAGCCTTATTAAAAAGAAAGGGAAAGACTCAAATTAATAAAAGGAGTAGAGATCACAACCAATACCAAGGAAACACAAACGATTTTAAAAACATACTATAAGGGACGCCTGGGTGACTCAGCGGTTCAGCATCTGCCTTGGAATCCCAGGATCGAGTCCCACATCAGGCTCCTTGCGTGGATCCTGCTTCTACCTCTGCCTGTGTCTCTGCCTCTCTCTCTCTCTTTCTGTCTCTCATGAATAAGTAAATTTAAAAAATCTTTAAAAAAGAAAGTAGTATGAGGAAAACTATATGCCAACAAATTAGGTAATCTAGAAGAAATGGATGCATTTCTTCTGGAATTCCACAAATTACCAAAACTGGAACAAGAAGAAATAGAAAACCTGAACAAGCCAATAACCAGCGAGGAAATTGAAGCAGTCATCAAAAACCTCCCAACACAAAAGTCCAGGGCCAGATGGCTTCTCGCGGGAATTCTACCAAATGTTTAAAGAAGAAATAATACCTATTCTATTAAAGCTGTTTCAAAGGACAAAAAGGGAGGGAATACTTTCAAACTCATTTTATGAGGCCAGCATTACCTTGATTCATTCAGCCTAACACCCTCCAGTTCCATCCATGTTGAAGCAAATGGTGGGTATTCATCCTTTCTCATGGCTGAGTAATGTTCCATTGTGTACATAAACCACACGTTCTTTATCAATTCATCTGTCAAAGGACATCGTGGCTCCTTCCACAGTTTGGCTATTGTGGACATTGCTGCTATGAACTTTGGGGTGCAAGTGTCCCAGCATTTCACTACATCTGTATCTTTGGGGTAAATACCCAGTAGTGCAATTGCTGGGGGGTAGGGTAGCTCTACTTTTAACTTCTTGAGGACTCTCCACACTGTTTTCCAGAGTGGCTGTACCAATTTGCATATCCACCAACAGTGCAAGAGGGTTCCCCTTTCTACACATCTTCTCCAACGTCTGTTGGGTTGCTGAAGAAGTGGGTGGGGGGATAGGGTAACTAGGTGACAGGCACTAAGAAAGGCACTTGATGGGATAAGCATGGGTGTTATACTATAGATTGGCCAATTAAATTTTTTAAAAAGTAAAATAAATAAATAAATTCACTCATTCATTCATTTACTCTCCAAAAACTCTCTGTCTTTTGCTCTACAATAGTGTCATTTTTCCCGTTTGATCAAAATCTAGATCAAAACTAGTGGTGGGGCCTTGTGAAATGATTATAAAATTCCTAACTACAATAGAAAGGGACAGAAATGCCTCACTAAAAAGTAAGGTGAAAAAAACTGGACACAGGACACAAAGAAGCAAGAACAGCTAATTTTAAAAATTTGGGGCACCTGGGTGGCTCAGTGGTTGAGCATCTGCCTTTGGCTCAGGGTGTGATCCTGTGGGTCTTGGGATAGAGTTCCACATTGTGCTCCCTGCAAGGAGCCTGCTTTTCCCTCTGCCTATGTCTTTGCCTCTTTTTCTGTGTCTCTCATGAACAAATAAATAAAAATCCTAAGATTAAGAAAATACTTAAGACTTCTTGATTAAGACGAGGCCCAACTGAGGAAATAGCCATTTTCAAGTACAAAATACAAGGAATATTTAATGGACAGACTTGTAGAAATTTTAAGTTTAAACATCTAGAAATTAGCATTGATATTTATTTTTTTAAGGAAATCATAAGCCCTTATTCTCAAAACCATGTTATGAATCACACTAGTATGCATCTTGGGAGAAACAAAGCTATTTTAGGTAGAATGCCCCAGACTATGCACACCAGAGGCCATAGGGCCCTCTCACCTTAAAAGTTGTGGTGCCATAGAGCTTGGTGGTGTGGACTGTCTCTGGAAGCACATTAGTGATGTTGGTGATGAATTCTTCCAAGTACTTACAGGATTTCTCCAAGTGTGTTGTATTGATAATAATCTGGACAAGCTAGAAAATAACAAGCACATGTAAGAGTCATTTGACTATTTACCCGGAAACAAATGGCTCAGTATCAATCTGCTGGTAGAGGAAAAAAAAAAGGCAAAATGGGAGGGGCCTTTTGTATTCTACAAAGGGTCTGTTAGAGCACGGGCTTAGGTTGTAATTCCTCTAAGAAGCCTTTCCTGACTCCCAAAGCATCTTGTATTCCCCCTAGGAGAAGAGCACTTGTCTCTCTATTTTAAACAGATGTCTTCTTCTATTTAAGAGACTAAGAACCAAGACTGCTAGTGTTTAGCACAGAGCCTGGCAACAAATAATTGCCAAATGAATGAAATAAATACCCCCCCCCCCGAAAGAACAAGAATAAGTGAATGGCAAGAAGTTTCAAAATTAGGCATAAAAAATGGCAAATAGACTACAGGATATTAACAAACTATATTAGCTTACAGAAGAAATAATGTGGGCATTACGGTCAGAAAAACCAGCAAATCAACTATTTACAAATTATTAATCCAGAAAAAGTTTCTTAACTTCTCTGTTTCTTTATCTGTAAACTGTTAGTAATAATTTCTACTCACACAGTTATTTTGAGGATTAAATATCCTTTCGTTAATATTATTTTCCTTTTCTAACAAGAGAGATTCTTAAAAACCATAGTACTGGTATGATAAAAAGTCATCTATAAATAACTTTGAGGGGAGGATGAGAAAGAATGACTCTTATTGTCAGGATAGAATTAAAGTTTACAAAGTAGTTCACAATTCATTTTCTTACATTGTCTTCCCAGGAACCTGGAAAACTAAGTTAAGTTGGGCATAATTATTGCTTCTATTTTACTAAACAGAAACAAGAATGAAATGATTTTCTCTAGACCACAGAACCTAAATGGAATTTGGACTCAATCCAAGTCTTCTACCTTCAAATTATGGACTCACTGAAATGACTTCTGACAGTGCCTTTTAGCATAAGCATAAAATGGCAGCCCTGGAGTGCTGCACACTTATGTACATAAGACTGAAATATCAGATTCTGGGTATGCCATCAACTAGACCTCTCCATGAAAAAAATTAATTTAAATTTTTTTTAAAAAAGGGGCACCTACTACTTATTTCACCTATGAAAACTATTCAAATTTCCCAGAGTCTAAAAGAAATATGAAGAGAAAATGGAATAAAACCTTTTTTTGTTTGTTTGTTTCTCTTTCCTACATCTTTAACTTTTTATTTCCACAGGAATGTGTGTGGTGGGGGGGTTGTGGCAGACAGGGGGAGTTTGGGTATGTAAGGCTATGGGTGAACTTAGGTGTTCCTCTAGTCCAGTGAGAGAAGGAATGGGGGGTGAGTGGATAGATGACATAAAGAGAAGTTGAAACTGAAGATGAAGGTTGGGGGGTAATACACATTTTACAATTAAAAAATGTTTAAAAGTTGGAATTACACTTCAGTAGCAGTCATTGTATTATACTGCTGAATATTAAACAAAAATGTTAATAGGATTGTAATCAGAAAGTACATTCTTATCTCCCCAACAGCACACCAGCACAGGGCTAACGTACAGTGTTCATTCTGAAAAAATACATATTAAATCATAACAATGCTTTAGTAATAGATTGGAGTAAGGAGAAAGGTACTTTCTACTCCCCAAGGATCAGCTGGAAATTGTGGGGGAAAATGTCTGCTTTTGGAACGTGAAGGCAAAGGGCAGAGACCCAGAGATGCAGTTCCAAAAAAAATGAAAAGTTAGGGCAACAAAGGGATCAGATCTCTGTACTATTCCCCCCAACTCATCAAACAATTTCATATTCCTCACTAAGCCCCTTCCCTTCATTTAAAGACTCTGAGTTTTGGACACAGACACTATCTCTTTCTATAAAACTACCCAAAACATCACACTTTTAACTGTAGAGTGCTCTAGGAAAAAACACCTACCAAAATAAGCAATTCATCACCCTCTTTCTTTCAACATGTTTCTCCCTCAGAGAAAGACTAAAGTCATTTTAAAAATTTAAATTGTCTAAATTAAATCACTCTTCTTCCTGAGCAGGAAGGTGGCTACTGGCAAGGTTGTCTTGATATATAAATCAGAAAAGTAAGAGAGTTAATTTGGAGAACTGAAGAATTTCTATTTTAAAGTCAGCGTTACCTATAGGGAACACATTCTATCTATCAAAAGAAATCCTAATAATAAGGAGGAATCATGTCATGTTATTGAAATAAAAAACAGTGGCAGTCAAAGAGAAAATTGTCCTGTTTTGCAGGATATTGACAGTTTAAAAAAAAAAAGGAGGCGGCTTCACTAGGTACAGTAGTAATTTCCCTTGACTTTTTAAAGATCTGTCAACACAAAAGATCACCATGAATTACATCAATTGGCTGTCAGTCACTTTTGAAATGTTTCATTGCTGAGCATAGAATAGATTATTAAAACCCTCTAGGATTACATTAGATACCATGTCATTTTCAAAGGGAATAATGTCTGTTAATGAGGTCTAAGTGATCTCTACTCCTGAATGACAGAAAACCAAAATCCTTACAAGGGCATTTACAAATGTGAAGCCAGATATACTGTGGGGGTAATTCTGAACTTAAGGATGCAATGAAGCAATTTCAGATAGCAGCTTCCATCAGAGTTTTGAGCTCCTTTGATATTTCTAATCTCCACTTCCCACTCTCTTACAAAAATATATCACCACAGCAATCTGAACTGTCCTTAACATTGTTCCAAAGACATGGTATTAGCATCAGATTAGGTATAAAGTAGAGTTCTGTGAGGAGTCCAAAAAAAAAAAAAGAGAGAGAGAGACAGAACACTAAAGCAAACAACCACCTCTCACAATTAAATGACAGGAGTTACTAAGGTTAAAAACCATTAAGAAGCAGAAAATTTTTCTGTCTCTCATTCCCAGTAGCAGAGAGAATCTAATGCGGAAAGCAGAGTAGACTGTGGAAGTCACCTGTTACCTTATCTTGTTTTCCAAAGCAGAGAATTCAGGATGCTAAAGTTCCCAAAGTACTAACCTAAAGCAAGAAAATGAGAAGTCACACTCCCTCTCCACACTGCCAATGCTTTTCCACTGTTGGATTCACAAGTTAAAGAACTAAATAGCAGTGTTTGTTCTCATTCACAAAAATAAGCTCTCCCTAAGATTTCAAGGAATTTTTCTCCATTTCACCCCAGCAAAGATACAAAAAGCTAGGTCAACTCCTCATTTTTTACCATTTCCAAAGTAAACACCTAAAAATACTGAAGTACTTGGAATTACTGGTCCAAATTCAAAGGTCTAGTACAAGGCTTATATTTGACAAGACTTCATTATAAAATGTTTTAACATAATATTAGCAACATTACTACTGTTAACAGGGGATGGTAAACACTGTTATGTGGGAGACAAATAACACAAGATAGAGACATGTTGCCATCAATCTACATTATATTCAAAAGAAAGCATTGGTTATTTATTCAGGTCTCTGGGGCACTATTATAATAAAATAGATACATAAATATTCAATATGGTATCACTAATAAGAACTCTTTTTTTTAAGATTTTATTTGTTTATTTGACACAGAGAGAGAGAGAGAGAGAGAGCACAAGCAGGGGGAGCAGCAGAGGGAAGGGGAGAAGCAGGGTCCCCACTGAGCAGGGAGCCTGATGCGGGGCTCAATCCCAGGACCCTGAGACCACAACCCAAGCTGAAGGCAGAAATGCTTCATGGACTAAGCCACCCAGGTGCCCCTAATAGGAAGTCTTAATTTCTTTCACTTTACCCTAAGAACCTGCCTATCTACTTTTCTTTTTTCTTTCTCTCTCTTTCATCCATTAGGAACTCCTATGTGCCAAGGAATGAGAATACAGTTGTACACAATTATACACAAGACAAAGTCCCTGGCCTTGTGGAGATTAGAGTAAACACATACACTTACGAACATATAGCATAATGTTAAGTAATAATAAGCACTGTGAATAGAAGTGAAATAAGGAGTTACACAGTGATGGTAGGTCTCAGATAGGGTGGTCAAGGAAGGCCTCCTTAAGGAAATGACATATGAGTGGAAACTTAAAGTGAAGGTGTAATATTTCTATCATCTATAATAAATATATTTTTAAATCAGTTTATATCTTAAGTCTTTTTATCAATTCATTCGTCATAATGATGTAAGATGTTTTTGATTCATCTTAAAATTTTGTTTCAAGCTTAACTAATCTATGATATTCTGAGATGAATAAACTGGTGGTTTGTTTCCTTTATCTCTATGATACTGTTTTGCAAATTAATGCAGTGAAAGAGCAAAGGCTTAGAACAAAAGAAATCTCAAACGTTTACTCCAAATCTTATTTTTAAAGAAAATTTTGTATTTCAAAACTTATCTCAAATCTTATTTCCAAACTACTTACTGGTTGTATATGGCCTTACGCAGTTACTATCTTTCATCATCTTAAAATTGAGATAACAACATCAATGTCATACTAAAGAAATAATTGATATTATAAATTACTAAATATAAATACTAATATAAATAATAAAGTATTGAGTATAATACATACAAAATTCCTGAAAACTGTTATTGATATGGATTTATTATATCTCCAGCTAAATATGGCTTAAGAAAATAAACAACCATTCTGACCAGTCTCACTTTAATTCCTATGCACTAGCCAAAGTGGGCACTTAATGCTACAAAATAACCACATCGAGTACCAACCAAATCTCTTTTCCATACCTCCAGATATACTTTCTCTCTGCTTCAACACCAACATTTGTTCTGGAACTCCACTTTCAGCTGAAGATCTTTCACTGAGAAAACAGTGTTTGGAGTCTGCCACCATAACATATGCCCAGCCACCACCATCTGCATCCACATAATCTGAGTCTCATCTGTTACCCAAAGATGAACTTTACACCACCTAAAGCCAATTCCTTTGCTTGTGCATTAGATTCTAAAGTCTCTCTCCTCCTCAAGGACATTACTCCAAAGATTTCCCTTTTTCTCTTCTATCACTTCTATCA